AACAAGAAGGACCAATCAGCCCAGGGCCTCGCTAAGAAGCAACAGATCTTTGTTGTTCATGCTGCCACAACCCTCACCACGCCAACTCCCATGAAACCATACACCGGAACCCTTCCGAAATGCAACAAGTGTAACTTCCATCACACTGGGGCTTGCCGGAAGATGCATTGCAAAAATTGCGACAGAGAGGGGCACACTGTTCATTTCTGTAAGGCACCAGCACGACCCATCAACCAAGTCCCTGGCTTTGGAGTAAGCCCAACCTGTTACAAGTGTGGAAAAACGGGACACTTTAAAAGGGACTGCCCAAGAACAAGAGATGCCGGTGGTGGTGGAAGGGTGCCTGCAATCACCGAAGGAGAAACCACCCCGGAACTGCCCGCATATATCAGTACATGTTTCTAACATCGACATTTAAATTCTAAATTTCTTTATATGTTAAATCTAGCATCGATTAAAGCATGCATAGTAGTAATCATGTGACATCGGGCGAGTTATTCCTCACCATAATCAATTTCTTGTACTGCGAAAAGTTTCCGCCATCTTTCCTCTAAATTCTTGGATCCCCATTCGAAGTGCAAATTTCGAGACGAAATTCCCTCTAACGGGGGGATGACGTGACAACCATCAAATTCTGGTCAATTCAAAGTCAAATAAAGTTAACAAGTCAAACCGGTCAACTCAACTAACCCTTGTGTACTAGGGCTTACGTTATGTATTTACTAAACAACTCGCTATTTTGATGAGAAATCATAAATCGAAAAGTACGTACAACTAGATCTCCTTAACCTAAAACTGAGGTAAGTGGCAAGCCAAACTGATAAAACAATGTTGCATACTCATCAGGAGTATGTAAGATCCTTAAACAAGGCTTAACAGGGTTTACAAACCTTGCATTGTGAAGCCGGACACTCACAATTGTCCCACATGGAACCTCTCTCAATCGTTTTCACTCTATCTCTCTCTATGTCAAATCTCTCCCAAATCTCTCCAACTATGTGAAATCTCTCTCAAATATCTCTCTGTATGAGAAATCTCTCCAAGAATGTCAAATCTCTCCCAAATCTCTCCAAGTATGTGAAATCTCTCTCAAATATCTCTTTGTATGAGAAATCTCTCCAAGAATGTCAATTCTCTCCCAAATCTCTCCAAGTATGTGAAATCTCTCTCAAATATCTCTCTGTATGAGAAATCTCTCCAAGAATGTCAAATCTCTCCCAAATCTCTCCAAGTATGTGAAATCTCTCGCAAATATCTCTTTGTATGAGAAATCTCTCCAAGAATGTCAAATCTCTCCCAAATCTCTCCAAGTATGTGAAATCTCTCCCAAATCTCTCTCAAAAGTTCCCGTTACTTTTTAGAATCATTCGGGTCATTCCGACCCTTAACCGGGTCAAAAACGGCTCAAAACGGAGTGAAAACGAGTAAAATAGGCTTTAGGAACCGAAACCAAGAAGAGAGGCCTCTCGGGCCGAAACTCGCGAGGACCGAGCCTCTGCTCTGGGTCTCCCCTCTCGGTTCCCTGCTCCATCTCTCGGTTCCCTTGCCTTGCTCTCGGTCTCTGTCTCTCTACTCGCCTCTCGGTCTCTGTCTCTCTACCCGCCTCTCTGCTTCTGTTTCTCCCGCCTCTCTGCCTCCTCTCGGTCTCTACTCCTCTCTTCCCTTCTCTCGGTTTCTTCTCCCACCTCTCGGTCTCTGCTCCCTCTCTTCTCCCCTCTCGGTTTCTGCCCTCTCTCCTCTCGGTTCCAACATCAGAAGACCGAAACTCGGCCTGATTTCGGAATTTTGTCACTTTTAGCCCATTTTTGTTATTTTTAACATTTTAAGCCTGTTTTTCATGATTTTAAAGCGGGATTTTCTCCAGAAATTATATTTTAACATAAAAAACCCTAAATATTCATAATTTAAACATATTTTCATGAAAATCATTATTTAAATAATAAAAATCTAATGGGTGATTTATTTAAGGTGGCGTGTTGACCTTGCCTTATCTTATGTCACAAGCAACCACGCCACACCCACTCTATGACCAGCCACACCTCCCCACCTTACCTAGGTCACTTCAATGTCCCTTACACTCAATTTCCACCCATTCCCACGTTTTTAGAGCTGGATCAAAACATCGTCTCTCCTCATTTCTCCCATTTGCTCTCATTTCACAGAAAATCAAACACCACTTTTCTCTCAAACTTTTTTCTACAAAATTCGAGATTCAAGGGCTAATCTTGAGTTTTTCCTCCACATTTGGTAAGTATAATCCATGCTCCATATGATTATTTCACTTCCTTCTACACAAATCAAAGATATCTTACACAAACTCCATCATATTTGTGTTAGATCTTCGAATCTTCAAGTGATTCTTCAAGTGTTCTTGGGTTGAACACTTCTCTTATTCAACACTTATCTACTGAAATCACTCAAGGTGAGTTCATACCCCTACATTTTCATGTTTTCTCAAGTTTTCAGGGGGGGAATACAAGTTAAAACACCAAGAACATAACTAAATTTTTCTAACAGCCTTCGTCAGAAAATTTCAACTCCATTCATGGACAGTTTTGGGCATTTTAAACATTTTTGTTTTCAAAACTGTACAAGGTGCAAATAGTTCAAGTTCTTAGCTTTAAAATGACTACTTGCACATCTCCATACGATTTTCCTACAATTTATGGTGATTTATACAAAACTTCCTATCATTTCAAACAACAATCCGGACCAGTCTGTGATTTTGGACTTATTCACCCAAGTTTGAGGTCATTAAAAATCGTGATAAAAATTATGAGTAAACTAGACACATTTTGTGAACTCTCAGAATTTAAGGATCTAGTTTTCGACTTCGTATGATTTTTCTACGATTTTTCTAAAACAGTGCAGAAAGATTAAGAATTAGTTAACAACTTCTAACTATCAAAACACTTTGTAAAATGTTGAGCAAAGTGTAAAGTCTTTGATGACTTCATATATTTCATGCATTTATTGTTATGATATATTTTTATAATAGGAAATTACTTACTGAATTTATAAGAATCCTCCATCATAATCATTAGTACAAAACAAAGCAAGTTAAACATAGTTATATTGTACTATACATTTGACTTACATAGAATGGGATTCTTAAACACCACAAAGAAATATAGTAAACTATAATAGGTATAGTTAGGGTACATATACATTTCAAACATTTTAATAAACTATAATAGGTATAGTTTATGATCATTTACATAACATACTCATACAAAAAGGGGTACAAATACAAAGTGCCGGTTTTTATACAAAAGGGGTACAAATACAAAGTGTCGGGTTTATATACAAAAAGGGGCACAAATACAAAGTGCCGGTTTATATACAAAAAGGGGTACAAATACAAAGTGCCAGTTTTTATACAAAAAGGGGTACAACTACAAAGTTCCGGGTTTATATACAAAAAAGGGTACAAATACAAAGTGTCGGTTTTTATACAAAAAGGGGTACAAATACAAAGTGCCGGGTCTTTATACAAAAAGGGGGTATCGATACAAAGTACCAGGTTCACTTAAGATAGTTATTATGATATTAAAACTATATTTCATCTAGAATTGGTAGACTTCAACTATAATAGCTGAGCGTATATGTTTGAGTCATATAAGAATTTAGTCTCGATTGGCCTAGAATTAGTGGTGCATGCCTCATCTCATGTTCCTTGTTTGGTTGTGGACCTAGGGCAGACCCACTATATTCAACATTTTATCTAATTTAAACCTTATATAACTTATATACGCTGGACGATTATAGAGGAACTCTACGGGTCATTCTAGGGTTCATTAATGCATCATATAGAAATATTTCTATTCACACTCAACTAAGAAACTATTGGATTTTCTGGAAATCAAACCATATCAATTTTACAAGGAAAACGGTTTCTACTTCAAACAAAGCTCTTATGAACTTACCAACTTAATTGTTGACATTTTTTTTCAAAACTACTTGTATTATCGGGAAATCAATGAAACAGGAAAACTTCAGCGCTTTGAGGATGGGACGTTAAACCGTCAACAATTTACTTTTGTCATCATAATATAATTGATTTTGAAACATGTAAACATATACTTTGGTGTAACTTTTTCAATTATATTTATGATGGTTGTATTTACTTTGAGCACTATTAAACACGTTGTTGTGATACTGTACATGAAGTCCTCCACCCCCGGACGTTTCCGCCATCCTTGGTTTGGGGGTGTGACATCAAGTCACTTTTACGTTTGTTCAAAAACCCTTGGATGTCTTACAATACCATTTTACATTCTTGAACTAAATTATTCATGTACACTTATATTGTATATATGTATTGATGTATAGTTTACATCTTTCATTTAGTTTCCCACACCCTTGAGTAGTAAGAGTGTATAAGCCTACTTGAACAACCAATTAACTTTCATTAAATTGTCATAGGGATAATTAGAAGATATCAAACATTATTCCAATTACAAGGAATCACGCAAAGTGTCAGTTCATTCATGAGTCTTTACGAGTACATTACCTGATACATGAGTACCTTTACATATGCTTACGTGATACCTGAATACGCTTACATGAACATGATGAGATTTGTAATCGAGTTTGAATCAATTCAAGTATGAAATCAGAAAGAGTAATAACGATGAATACGAGAGTAAATAGAATATTTTTTTCAGCTCATATTATGCTTTTGAGTTTACAGATTACAATGACTAAACTGTAAAAACTGAGTGAAGGAAGTCCCTAAAACACTTAGTACATACCCCTATTTATAGGAGAACAAAAGCATAACAATACTAAGGACTAGACATTAAGACAACACTTTAATATACCTTAGTACAAATAACATTACTTCCGAAGACCCCTTCTTACGAAGACAAAATATACTTCATAACAATCTAACTGACTCTTCGACTATTACAACATTTAAGCCCTAACAATCTCCCCCTTTGGAATCAAGGTCGAAGTTTTCAATTTGTCAGTGATTGAATGGCATACATCAGCACTCTTCAGATTTCCATGTACCAAGAGATAACTTTCTTTATCTCTTTCTTATCCCCTTCTGAGTTCTTCTTGCAGTGGTTTATACGAACAATTAAGTTCGTATATTGTGAGTTGGTGCATCTCTCCACTTCGCAAGTTTGAAACAAGAACCGCTTAGCTCTTCCAGCTTTGTCTTTTCCTGCAAGAACGATTCCCAATGGCTTTAAACAAATTTCTCCATCTTCATAATTTTTCAACTCATTTTGTTTCTTCGATGGTGACACTGGTGCAGTAATGTCGATGCCTTTGACAACTGCAAGTTCGACATCAGTCTGAGCCAAGCACTCAATGTAATTCTTCAAAAATATCTTAATGTGCTTGCACCCTAGGCTAAAAACATCTGGTTCTGTGTCTTGGAGAAAAGAAAATGATTTGTCTTTGAGCATCAAGGCAATGTTTATTAGATAATATGTGTTCATCAAAGGAAAGTCTGCCACTGTGAATTCTTGTAACTTCCCACTTGCTCTTGCTACAGTGTACTTCAAATTTTCAAACTTCCCTTCGAATATGACATCCCTTTTTATAGATATCACCTTCTTAATTTTTTTCCGAAAAACACACTTCTTCTTTCCCTATTCGGTTTCCAATAATTTTGCTTCAGCCTTGAACTGTGGCATAACGAACATCATTTCATTGACTGGAAAGTCAAGTTGACCAAAATCTGTGTTCGTCACCACATAGCTCTTTTTCGGAATCTTTTCAAATGAGTACATACAATCAAACAGCACTCTGGATTCGATGGTTTCGTAGTTATAAAATTTTGCTGGATCACCCTTATCATCATTCAAACCATCCAGAGCCCTTTGTCTCATTATGCTCTACACCTGCCTCATTCTTTCCACATCAGCTGCCACCTCAACTTTCTTCTCTTCTTTTGTCTTTTCAATCAAAATTCCTTTTCCCTTGTCTTCGACATTTGACAAAACCAATTTTTTTGATGAAGAAACATCAGCTTGCTTCCCAATCACAACACCTTTTGAACTTGGTTTTGGAAGTGGAATTGTTGTGATCACAGTCGAAGTGACTGAACCTGCTGAAATAATACTCAGTTTTGTCACCACCTTCGAAGGATAAAGTTTTCCAACTACCTTCGCATCTTCAGATGTCTTCGTTTGTTCCGCAGCCTTCGATTTATCAATCTTTTCTCCCCCTTGCACCCCTGTGAAAGCAGGTGGGGCCTCTGTAACATTTGGCAGAAGGCTTGAAATGCGAAGAAGTGGAGATAAGTTTTTGTGTAGGATGGCTTCGAAGTGGGAAAATTTCTGAGAAAGAAATTCTTGAGAAACAATTGGAGAGACAGACTTCGAAGACAAGTCTTGGAGTTCTTTTAACAACCTGACCAACTCTCCAAAATTTTGTTCTTCTTTGGCAGAAAGAGTGGTCAGTTGAGGATTCATCTGCTCAAATAATTTAACACATTTTGCAACAGCGTCACAAATAATGTCAATCTTCTGATTTGCTGACGCGTAATCTTGTTGAACAGCCTAAACCTCCTTCGTCATATCTTCACGAAGTTCTCTGATTTGCAAATTAACATCTTCGCGTACCTTCTTGACTTCTTGTATGAAGAGCACATGACGCTCCTTCGTAACAAGCTTTAGATCCTTTAAATCTTTCACAAAATCAGATCTCAGAGAATTGATTCGATTCTCTGTAGAAATATCATTCTGATTAACCTTCGTAAGAACTCGACTCTCCGAATCCCTAATCAACCCTTATGCCTTCGAGATCACCCTTCCTTCCATCACCTTCATTAAGGAATCAACTTCCATGCTTGTAATTCCACCACTTTCCACATCTGCTTGGGATTGCAAGATAGAATGCAATTTCGAATTCAAAATCTTAAACTGCTTCATAGTCATCAGCATGTGGTCAGGGAAATCTTCTTCAGCTTGATCAAAATGAAGAGCTTCGAATGTTCCTCCAAAGCCTTCGTCATCGGTTTCAGCATCAGCATCCATGGTTTCATCAGTAGGTGAGGATGGATGGGGTGGATCAGTTGATTGAGTTGAGAATATGGTGGTGAATGGTTGATCCATAATAAGTTGAAATGTAGGAGAATCAGTTGTGGATGTAACCTGGGGTAGTGAACTTCTTTCAAGAGGCTTCGTAACAATAGGTGAACTGGTCTTCGCTTCTTCTTGAAGTGTAATCTCTGGTGTCTCAGGAACTTGCTCAACTTCTTCAAGTCTTTGACTCTTCTTCAAAAATTTTGCTAAATCTTCAGCCCTTTGTATTTTAGATAATGGAGACACCGGAGCTGGAATTTCACGAACTGTGACCCCTTGATGGGATAATTGCGTTTTCTTCACCATCTGAGACTTTCGTTTTATTTTGATCCGTCGAAAAACACCCGTCTTCGAAGGAATCATTTCTGTCGATGGAGACGCTTCGATTCTTGGTGTATCAACCATTGAGGTTAAAATTTGAGATACCTCTTCGACCACCGAAATTTTCTTCTTCTTTTCTACCTTCGCCACTTTTTCCAAAGACCCACCAACTGTCTTCTTCGATTTCTTAGACTTTTCCCTCTCTTCGTCTTCATGTAACACCCATGTAAGAACTGTTGTGTCAATGTATTGCAAATATGACACCAAAACATTATTCGTTGGATCCACCTTCTTGAGCATCGCATCCGGAATGCGAGCTATTGATGTAAAGATAGCCGGATCATCATTTACTTGCTTCGGACTACCATACATGTGAAACACCGCCTTTTCTTCGAACTCTGGAACTTCGATCTGCTCCTTGCGGTAAACATACTGTATGATCAAACACCAATAACGAGCACAAGAAATCCCCTGCTTGGCACTCATCTTTGAAATGCTAGTTAAGAACTCTGTCCATAATTGTTCAGAGTAATCCACTTGCAGATCATAATACAGTCCGACAACCATTGCGTAAACCTCCATCCTTCCTTTATCAAGACCCACGGTTCTTGCAGTAAGACATCGAACGAAAATGCCAAACAAAAAATTCCATACCGTAGGTAATCCAGACTTCTTGAAGTCACTGATACGCGACAATGGAGGTTGATGGCCCATCTCCTTGAACATAAACACCACTTGAGAAGAAAAAACTTCATCATAAGGACCAGAATTTTGAATCCCCAAAATTTTGCAAAACAAACGCTTGGACACCCTAATACGCGTATCATTCACCATAGTGAATTCAACACAACCTGTCTCCTTGTTGTATGATGCAGTAGAACCTGCCTTTGATAACCAAGACATTGGAACAGCAAAAGAATCGAACATTGCTTTAGAAAAAACTGAATTCTGTAAAGCGACCACCAGCATTTGGAGTTCCATCGGATATTTTGACAGATCAGATTCCACTTGGTAGTTGGAACCCTGGATTTTCAGAATCAGAATGCTAACAAATTCTTCTGTGGTTGATGTAGTCGCTATTGTTGAAGATAAGAACAGAAAGTGTGTGAAGAAGATGACTGTTTGAAGAAATGAGTTGCAGAGAGAATTTTGTATGACAGAGAATGTTTGATCGCATAAAGTATTATGGACTCCTGAGTTCCCCTTTTATAGGTTACCCACATTAATTTGAAATTAAAGCGGGATGCATTTAATGTTATCCGACGTGGCACCTTGAAAATCGGATCATGACGGTAAAAGATAACCACGCTTCAAAAAGTAACTGTCCCATCTCCTTGAAAACCGGATAGACTACTAACCATCTTGAGTACACAGCCTGTCAAGTTTCCCGTTGTAGATTTTGAACCGTTAAAAGAAAAACCTTCGCATGGAAGCATGGCTCTTTCACTTTTGGGATATAAAGCGAAGTCATTTGCCAGATTTGCGAAATCATCAGTCTGAGTTGGTTTTACTTAGAACCTCTAGGATTTCGTGTGTGCTGTGTTTCCAAAAAAAATTTAGATGAGAAACAAATGAATTTTTTTTTTTGAAAACTTGTGATGTCAAAAAAATTTATTTTGACACAAAAACAGTTTAATCCCGGGCAAAGATTTCTTCGAAAATTATCAAGAGAGATAATTGACAGCTTGCTTGGTTTCCCGTGAATTACAGTCGATAACTTGTAGAGAAGTTTCGAAGGGTTTCTTTTATAAGGCAAACGGGTGGCATCGAATATTTCATTACATTTCAACCTTAACATAAGGTGATAAATTGTAAGCAAAATTAGTTGTATGACCAGTGTAGTCAGTGACAACTTGGTTGCGAATGATATGTAAAGTAACAAGGCTTTTCAAAATATACTCATACGGAAATCATATTCAAGAAAAATATTATGCTGGATCTTATTGGGAACAAACATCGTAGGTTTCGAATGCTTGATGAAGATCACTCAAAAAGATTGAATACGATTTTGAGTATAAAATGTACTGAAACAAATGTTTCGTAAGTTCTGGAACATAGTTCCCAGTCAATTCTTTGATTTGTTGGTTTTTAGGGTTTCACTACCATCACGGACTCATGATGTTAGATCATAAACACATAGTATTTGTATGTCTAGATTGCAATTGGTTTGGTCAACAATCTCTTGGACATACGTCATTGTGTGTGAATGGTGTAAAGAAGTTTAGGATGAAAAAGATTAGTTTTCGAATCGTATGTACCTCTGTTATAGATGGACCAAACAGACAAGTCTTAACTCATTTGAGAAGAGTAAGGTAGTTCTATTGAATTATGCGAATACAAGCCTTGTTGGGAAGAAATTTTCATGAGATAACTTCATTAAGGCTTTCATTTCTCACACATAGAGTCATGCGAGGCTTAAGGCAACATGCAGCAGCATGCTTCTAGGGACATCCTAACTAATCTAAAGTATATCAAAATCATACCTTCCCATAGAAGACACACACATGAATCCTTCGCATTTAAATCTTGACAAAACTCACAATACACATGTTAATACCGAAGAGAACAAAAAATATTTTTGGTATTTTTGAAATGTTTTTCTTAAAAAATAACAAACCAAAATAAAATCTTTTTGGATTTTTAATTTTTCAACAAAAGAAAATATTTTTGATTTTTCAGGTTTTTCGAAAGAAAAAAAAATAAACATTAAAATTCTAACCTTAGTTAAAATGTGTACGAATGCAAAGAAGTGAATTAGAAAGATCTTCAAATCATATGAACACAAAGAATTCGAACCGTTGACTTGAACAATATCCTCTGATTATGTACTTCAACAAGGAATAAATCTTGCGAATACGAAGCATTCGAAGCGTTGACCATGAACAGTAACCTTTGATCACTTAAATTTTTGTAAGCAATTTGTCCTTCAGTTCACCAAAACATTCGAATCCATCAACCTTCACTTTTATCACATGTAAGTGAATTTCCATCAACCATACCCAATCCTTCCAATATACAAAGAAAAGATTTTTCATCCAATGCCTTTGTGAAAATATCTGCAAATTGTTCCGTTGTTTTCACAAAATGAACTTCAATATTTCCTTCTTCGACATGATCTTTGATAAAATGATATCTGAGATCAATGTGCTTAGTCTTCGAATGCTGCACAGGATTATGACAAATTCTTATTGCACTTTGTGCATCACAATCTAAAGGAATCTTTTTCATATTAATAGCATAATCACGTAATTGACTTTGAATCAAAATTATTTGTGATGTACACGCAGCAGGAGCAACATATTCAGCTTCAGCTATAGATATCGAAACACATGTTTGCTTCTTCGATTGCCAACTGACCGATTTTCCATCTAGTAATTGACACCCACCAGTTGTGCTTTTGCGATCAAGACTGCACCCTCCAAGATCCGCATCTGAATAAGCTTGTACAAAGAACCCTGTTTTAGAAGGATACCACAAACCAAATGAAGTAGTGCCTTTCAAATATCGAAAAATATTCTTCACCGCTATCAAATGTGGTTCACGTGGATTGGATTGATACCTCATTTCGTGCATGAAGTTGAGCCCTTGGCATTACTCCTGCTTGTGGATCACCAAGAATTTGTTCTTTTGGATGATTTCTTGTCCATTTATCCAATGGTGGATAATTAGGATCGAAATCCAAAGGTGCATCTTCGAACATAGCATATGTTTCTGATCCATTTGTGGAACATGCATCCTCAGCATCATCGAAATGTTCTACTTCAAGAATGGGATCCTTCTTAAGTATTGACTCCTCTTCGTGTATTGGCTCTGCTTCGAAAAGTGGCTCTTCTCTGATAATTGGCTCTTCTCCGATAATTTGCTCCCCCTATTCATTAACATTTGTTGAAATTTTATTACTTTCGCAAGAATGCTCCTCCTCAACAAAACTGTTCGAATCCAAGTGCTCCCCCTCCACTGGAGCACTAGTTAATTCATTTGGATCATGCTTCGAATTTTATGATTGTTGATTATCCGGTGCATTATTCTCTGCTTCAATTGCTTGATCTGAAATACCAAAAATCGATTCATAATTATCATCATCCATTTGAATTGAATCATTATCATTCGAAGAATTTTGCAAAATAGGATGATTTGCAAATTGATGATTAGACTTTTTAATGTAATGATCATTAAATGTCAAATTAAAAGTTTCTTCCACTTTGAGAGTTCGCTTATTTAACACTCTATAAGCAACAAAATTGTGTGAATAACCCAAGAAAATTCCTTCATCAGCTTTTGTTTGAAACTTCGAAAGATTATCCTTAAGATTCATTATGAAACACCTGCATCCAAAAACATGGAAAAATTTGACATTAGGTTTTCGATTATTGATGATTTCATAAGGAGTAACATTAAACCGTCTATGAATGAATGATCGATTCTGAGTAAAGCAAGCAGTTGAAATGGCTTCGGCCCAAAGGTATTGAGGTAAATTCGAATATGCCAACATTGTTCTTGCAGCTTCACATAATGAGCGATTTCTTCTCTCAACTACACCATTTTGTTGTGGTGTATATGGAGATGAAAAATTATGCGAAATGCCTTTCTCCACCAAAAATGAATCAAGAACACAATTTTTGAATTCAGTTCCATGATCACTTTTAATTTTTCGAACAAACTTCTTCAATGAAATTTCCATTTTCTTGATAAAATCAATCATCATTTGTGGAACTTCGGATTTTAACCTAAGAAAATAAACCCACGTAAATCATGAAAAATCATCCACAATAACTAGAATGTACCTTTTCTTGTTAAGGGTAGCAACTGTCGAAGGACCACATAAATCAATATGCAAAAGTTCTAGGGGTTCAACAATCTTCGAATCTATTGTGATTGGATGACCTTGTTTGTGTTGTTTTCCTACTTCGCATGCTGCACACAAACTGTCATTATCATATTTAAGAATGGGTAAACCTATTACCAGATCTTGTACAACAAGTTTGTTGATGTTACGAAAATTGAGATGTGATAACCTCCTGTGCCACAACCAGCTTGTATCGGCAGCAGCCTTAGAAAGTAAACACACAGCAGGTTTACCAACAATTGGAACTATATCCAATGTAAACATATCACCTTTTCGTTTTGATTTGAGTAAAACTTCTTTTGTCTCAACATTCAAAATGACACTTCCTTCTTCATTAAAAAGAACTTGATTGTCAGTGCCCACAACAACTTGTGAAACACTTATCAAATTGTGTTGTAAACCTTCAACAAATGCAACTCGATTGACAGTGAAAGAGTCATTCGTTATCTTTCCA